TCTTTCCTCCATCCCCATTTTGAGTGCGCTACAGCGCCGAGCATCCTCATCTTCTGTGTGGCCTTAGCTATTACTGTCTCAACCTGTTCCCTGAACGTGAGCCTGCGGTCGAGTGTGTTTGTGTTTTGTTTGTAATTTTTATTTTGTTGCTGATTTTGCGCAAGGATGACAATAAAATGAACTGTATCAGACGAGAAAGACCGAGTGCCATGTTGAAACAAACACATGGGTCACCACCACTGGGAGAACGAGCGACACTTCTGTCACAAGTTCATGTTAACGTCCTTTGTTACTTTGTTACAGACTGAGTAAACAATGTACCCCTCATCTCACTTACGATTTGTGTATGAGTAGTGGGCGGGGCTGAGTGATCACACGCTTACCTCACCAGCAGCCGAAAATTTGTTACGGTATCTATTGGTCAACAGTGGGAGGGGCCAACGCAAGATGATAGGTTGGAGGGACTACCTAACAACAATGACAGGTGATTGGATTATGACTGCTCGCCCACAACGCCAGGGGCCAATGCACAATTTATATGACAAAACGTAATGGAGTCACTAAGGTGGCCGTCTAAGACAGGTGTTATTGCTTAGTGTGATAGGGGTTGTGTTAAAATATGGTGGCCGCGGCCGCGTTGGACAGGTGCCCGTTTTACACAGTTAAATTATATAGAAAAAACGCAAGAGGGGCAATGGAAAGTTGCTGTTGGTACAGGTGGCCAGCTTATAGAGAGTAGAGGTGGCCGTCAGGGCAGGTTTGACTCTATGTAGGCCTCCAATGAGACACAAAACTCTTCATTTATAAATATCTACACTCAATGACAGTAGCAGGCCTCTATCTAGTTTTGCCCCTTTAGTTTTAGACTTGAACTTAGGAATGTGGTGTCTCTGAATAGGAAAAGAGGTAAACGATAATAAACATATGTCAAAGGTGCGTTGCCTGAGGATGAACAATGACTTCAAATAGACTTCTATATCACAGTAATTTTAAATCATTTTTCCTTTTGAATGCGTAACATAATAAGACACAGGTGGGGCAGGGAGAGAGAGAGCAAGGAAAAAAAAATTGGTGGGGTCCATTAAGCAAGTTTAAAGAATATCCAAACCACACGGCAATGCGAGTGCTATAACAATTTCAACTTGCCCATCGGGAGCCGAAAGCTATGATTATGATCGGGGAAGGTTAGTAAGTGGAAGCCAGAGGAAGGAAAGAGTTATAAACAAAAGGAGGAAAGCCACGGAAATTCCGGGGAAAAGCCGGGCTTTCAAGGGATCATCGTCAACTGTTGGCATCAGCAGATCATGTCTGAGTCGATAGATCTAGGTTGTAGATTCTAGAGCATTCATTGTATAAAGAAATAAGCAATTCAAAAGAAAAGAAAGGAGTACTTTATCATTTCCTTGGCGGGCTAAAGTGGATACGTGTGCATTTCTTCCTTTGGCTTGAGACAAATAGGTTTGAAGATCCTGAAGTACTTTGTCGTCATCCGCCATTTTGACGCTTCTGTTGCCACTGCAAAACTATGGCTGGAGTGAGCTCCCTTGAAAATCATTTCTGTTTTTCTGCGAAAAAATCTGAATGATAACACTGACTATATTCATATGAAATTACCAAATTAATAGGCATATCTCTATTTCTCACTCAGGGAACGACGAAGGGAGTTAGAAACTGATGTAGCTGGGTTTTTTATATTTCAAAGATAATTGGGGTGAATGTTGCTCTACAACTACGTATAATGATATAATCGTAGTAACCCTGTCCTACGGCCTTAACATGTACTCCATAATAATATTATACTTCCAGTTTTATCTAAGTCTTGAGTTAATGAGGAATCAAAATGAAATTGTAAACCTAGCTTTGAAAAAAACGCTTGCTTTCCAGGACGATGCGGGGCGGACTCATGGGGGACATATTAGGCTATGTACGCATGACCGTGACTAATGACAATAAAATTAAATCATAAAAAGAAGATCGTTTCAGACTATGCGATACTGTGGAGTAGCGCTAGACTTTTTTTTCATGAACGTTGAACTTTGACCCCATGACCCCGTCACAGAAGAAAGAAAACACAGTTTTCTGCAGCGGCAGACAAGTGCAAGTCATCAAGTCAGTTCAAGGCAGCCTCGCCTCATAAGACAATTTACTGGCACCGTACATGAGATTCTAGAGGCCTACGGCTGTGTAAGTGTAAGAAGTCTGAAAAGTGCCTCCAGGTCTGATTCTCCTGCCTATCCTCAGCAGACTAATTGCTTGCAACTGCAGAAGCTCTTCATCGTGTGCTGTTGTTTATTAGTTTCTTTTATTTTTGGCTTTTGGGGCTTGAGTTGGTTCTGTCGAATCAGTTCACAAGCTGACCTTGCCGTCTACAGTCAAGTCAGGTATTCCTAGTCACCAACAAGTAGGAGAGGAGAATGAATCCACAACTGAAGAATCTTGCCTCTATTGTGAGGAGGACATCTCATGTCGTCGGTGCACTGAGACAGGTAAATTACATTGAAATGAAAGAAAGAAATATAATTTTCAGAGTTTATTTTGTTGTTGTTTTTTTTTCAATCTTACTGTCTGAACATGTTTTGCCATAATTAATTGGTCAGCCCAATACAAAAACTGAATCCTATAATCTTGTTCAGTTTTTCCTTGTGTGTGCACTGCAGACATGGCTGTGGTGAGCCTTTTTAAAAATGTAGAAAACGGGCATGATTCAGATTCTTGATTAACATCTAACTTTTCAATCCTTATCAGCTGCTAGACGTTCTGGCAGTGTTTTTCAAAATTGGGGTTTTTTTTCAATTTTTTTTTCCTTAAAAAAACACTTTGTCCGAAGCAGATGATTAGGTAAAAGTCTGTGAAGATAGGCTGAAAAATATTAAAATTAGAGCAATTGTAACAATATACTGGCTAAATGAAAAATTTGTAAAACCATATAGATTAGATTAGGAGTGTAAAAGCTTGGTCCATATTGCAGATTTACGTATATATATATATATATATATATATATATATATATATATATATATATATATATATATATATATATATATATATATATATATATATATGGCATTATATTAAACTTTCAAAATGAACTTGAAAAAGTAGTTGAATATGTGAGTTTCTCTGCAAATTTTCACTGAGAAAAATGGAGTAGGAAAGCAATTAAAGTCAAACAGGTCATTTTATTTGTTCAAGACTGTGACCCAATTGTCATATTGTTTTGGGCCACAGCAGTAAAGGCAATGATTGGTCACATGTTTAATAATTGGTTGTTTTAAACCAGTTTTAATATGATTTTCATGAAAGCATTTTTGTAAATTAAATTGTGAAATTAATTTATATTAATTTTTCTGACTTGCATTATGTAGGGGTCTCTCAAAAGTCAGAACTTTGTAAGATGTGCTGGATCCCAAGCAAACTCTGGCAGTGGAAAACCCATCTCAAGATTTCCTGTACCTGACCTTGATTCTGTACCTGAGGATCTGAGACAGTTAATGCAAGAAAATCTTGATAAGGTATGGAGAAAACAATAATTTTTCCTTTTTTTTAAAATCAGTCTGAGTCTGCAGTTTTGAAATATAAGGACTCTTCCTCCTCTTCTTTCTCCTCCCTCTTTCTTCCTCCTCCTCCTTAATTCTTCTTCTTCCTCTTCTCCTCCTCCTCCTCCTCCTCCCCCTCCCCCCTCCCCTCCCCCTCCCCCTCATCCTCCTCCTCCTCCTCCTCCTCCTCCTCCTCTTTCTGCTGCTGCATTGCTGCATGAGTGCACACTGCCAATTCAATACATTTGATATTGAGTTGACGCAAGCCAGACTTTTCTCTGTGGAGGGGCGAAAGCTACCGTTTTGGCACAGTACAACTGAATTCAACTGAATTGGATTGTGACCTTCAAAATCAAACACATAAAATTTGTTTTTCTTGATCATGAGTTGAATCAGTCATATTGGGCCAAAATAGTAGATTTGCTTCTCCATGGACGAAAATCTGGCTGGCCCCAACCCAGATCGACTAGCAGTGTGCACTGGGTACAGGGGTGAACATTAAGGACTGCACGACTGCCCGGGGCTGGTAACCACCTCTGTCGGGCTGATAGAATTGTTTTTGAGTAGGCCTATTCTCCTAAAGCTGAGAGAGGTGGCATGCTTCGATGACATTGCCAAACCTCCGGCTATTAATCTGCAACAGGATAGCTAAGCCTATTGTTATTAATTGTCATTGTGTACCTACTTCTAGCCACTGCATCGTCCGTGACACACTGTCAGCCTGTGCCATGCTTTGATGGCATTGAACTGATACTACTTCAGTCAGGAAGTTACTGAGCAGTTTCTCAGACAAGAACACAGTGTTGGATGCCATGCACGATGCTCTTGCTCAGCGTTTCAACTGCCTGGAGTCTGACAAAGGACTAAAGGTTGCATCAAAGCTGCTTGACCCAAGAGACTGGCCAGATGAGGCTGAAGAGTTGGCAGATGTTAGAACTGACGAGCGTCTTCTGCTGGACCACTTTGCTGAGCCCGTCGTGATGAGTGGCTGCAACATCAGGCAGGCACGAACTGAGGAGTGGCCTGCCCTCAAAAGACTGATAAAGAGAATGCCAGTGGCCAACCAAACGAGATCAACCATCTGGAGCCTGTTACTTGTAGACCCAGATAAACAGGAAGACTTCAGTAGGAGCATATTCTGCCCTCTAGTTGAGCTCCTGCTCACACTTCCTTTGTCCACAGCTAGTGTAAAAAGGAGTTTTAGTGCCATAAAGTGGATCAAATCTTACTGGAGGGCAAAGTTCAAGACAGATGTCCGGTCCATGTTGATGCACATCTGCATTGAAGGGCAAAGTGTTATGGACTACAACACTTGCCTTAGAATGGTGGTGGTAAAATGGTGACAGAACCAGGAGATTGTAGAAAAGATATAAACACATCATAGACAGGGAACGTTTTGAAATTTGTGTATGGCCATCATATTTGGCCATTATAATTACAGTATAATCCGCTTCTAAATATCGACATGGATTTGATGTCGATATATGTCGATAAATTAAATATAAAGCCAAAGTGGAAAAAACAAGGGGAGGTCAGCGGTAAAAAGACAATTCTACTTTTAAAGCTGGTTGCTTCCCTTGATTCTTACACAGTTCTACACAGTGAAACTAACAAGAGGCAGAGAGGAGAGGTTGGGGGGAAAAAGGAAGAGACTTTTTGGTTGCTTCCCTTGATTCTTGAAACTAGCAAAAGACAAGAGGGGGGTTGGAGTTATGGTACCAAAGACTGAGTGACGCGAGGCGTACACTACTCACCAGCGCAAAGTTTGTTGTCCTTGTAAGGCCTGTTTATGGTCGCTTGCTGTGGAAAATGGAAAGGCAAGGCACTTACTCACTGAACGTGGCACTTGCCAGCGACAAACTGAGAATGGGATGGGGAAGGGGAGTGAGCGATCGGGAGTGGGGGTAGGGAGGTGATGAGGGCGCGGGATGGTCACGTCTGTGAGGCACTGAACTGTGTTGGAGACTACATTGTGTAGGTCCTACATGACCTACGAAAGCCTGGTGTGTTGAATAGGCTATTTGGTGGGTATGTGGACTTAATGAAGAACTAATGCATTGACTGTTAGCGTGACTTTTTTCCCCCTTTAATGTTAGTGGGCTTCGCCAGATACACAGGAAGCATGTCGATAAAGCAGAGTGGACTGAAAAAAAGTCGATGTACGAGAAATTGTTTAGGGAAGATATTGAAGGAAAAGTTTCGTAATTGGAAAAAATGTCGATATGTCAGGATGCCGATACTTGGGCATTCGATATAAGTGGATTATACTGTAACAAGAAAAGTATAAAAATAAAGTATTCCATGTTAAACAAATTAACTGTACTAGCATATCAACACATTATTTTATTATTTTATATCACGTATCAGTACTGTTTGCATTTTTTCTCTCTTTCTTGATGTAATATACAGACAGTCTAATGGCTTTCATGTTTGAAAATGGGCAAGTTTACTTTTCTACTGGGCCAGTAGGTATTTGCGTTAGTTGCCCGACAGGGCATGTGGAAAAAAAAGTAGACGTTCACCCCTGGGGTAGACACTCCTCTTCCTCCTGTTCCAGGTCTTTGTAGTCAACTAGAACATCAAAAGCCCTGTGCACCTGACTCTTACGTATATGGGGTAAATGCCCATTATTCCAACTAGGATGTATAATATCCTTGACTTGCTCACATAAGCAGCCATACGTAACCACAGAAAAGATGAATAACTCCTAAATGAGTAACTCTGTTTGGCCCTCTTTTGCAAAAGTAAGAAAAATTACAGACACTTGTTTTTCTTGGACAGCAGTAGCCTCAAAGGTTATGGCAAGATTTTGTTAATTTTCCGTAGAGATTAATAAAAAATTTTCTTAGACCACATATGTCTGCTCTTCTTTGATTTGTAACGTAACTGCTCAAGTATTTTTAATATGGATAAAATGCATAAGATGCCTTTAACCTTTTGAGCCCTAGCCACCATCGGTGGTGCTTAAAATTGCCCTTATGCCTAGCCACCGATGCACTTGTGAGTGAGTCCCTATCCCCAGCCCGGCCCATCTAGGACAAAACGTGCACGAAAAACAGTGCTAACTGCACAGGACATTATGGATTATTTTGAAGATCTTTCTGAAGTAGATACTAGTAAAAATAAGAACTACCCTGAGTGGGATATGGAATGTGATTCTGACGATGACATGAATGTGAGTAATATCGCTAAGGAGCTCCGGCAGAGGGGCACAGATATGAGCTTCAGGAGGTAGGGCTCAAAAAGTATAGATGACTAGCCTACTTAGTGTGGCTTTATAAAAACAAAGACAAAAAAAACTGAAGCTGTACTTTGGCCATGCTTACTCAAATAGGGGATTGAAAAAGACACTTCAAAATGACTTTGACACTATGAGAGCGATAGAAATGTGTACTTTGTATCAGAGTCAAAGACCCCACCTAGTACCTTCTACCTTTGAGAGAATCTTTGACCTTCCTGGTAAAGAACTGGTCTTATGTCTTCTAGAATTTAAGCTATTAATGTATACACCATTAGCTCAGTTGACATAAACACCAGAGCTTGATTCCGAAGTTTGGCTCAATTTCTTTTCCAAAGTTGTTCAAAGAGTCTAATAGACCTTATGTTTGTTCTTTTCATAGACTCTATTTTAAAGTTACATTGTTTGTTGCTATTGTTGCTTCACTTCATAAAAAAGTAACCTTTGAAGCAACAACAAGTCAAGGTATGAGGCAACATTGTAACTTTATTATCAAATGTCACATTTTTTTCAGGCTGGCTTTATCCCGAATGTCTTTCAAACATTATCACACAGACCTGCTGAGTTGAGGGCATTTGTTGCCTACTATGAAGCAGTGATGAATGACAGAGAGGGAGGTATGATGCTTTAATGTTAGCATAATAATAGCTTTTAACTAGAGAGAGTAAAACAACAACAAGCAAGTTCTCTTAGTACTTGTGGATGCAATACTATGTTTTATTAAATTCTTCACTGAAAACATACACGTTACACTTTTTCCCTGGGTTTTTTAAAATTGTATTTAGGACTGAAAAGATACATTTATGCATTCTTTTTTTTTTTCACAGTCCACTCAGAATGGCTTGCCAAGGCTTTTTACTTCTTTATGATCTTCTTTATAAAAAAAACAAGCATTAATAAGTTTTTAGAATTTCTCTGTGCCATTTCATTGCTATTACTCAAGCCCCCCCCCCCCCCCCCCCTCAGTTTCATGCCCATTCAATGTTGACATCTGGTCTGTAGTCAGATTTTTTTAAAGGATGTGCAGCATCTAGTTTTTAATCCCCACTTTGCTTCTTGTTAGTCTCTGTCTGTAAAACATCAGCTATATTGTGAGACTAGCTGTTTATGGACAAAAAGAACCAAAACATTTACATTCTAGAAGCTGAAAAAAAAAGTAGTTCATACTAAATTTGATATATTTTAGTAATATAAGAGGAGATATGATCGCTTTTAAGCACAAGGGGGCTATCCCAAAAGATGCTGTTTTGAGAAAATCGAAGGTAAAGTTTTTTTTACCCTTGTTCGGTTTTAAAAGACAAGGAGACTTTTCTCTGTAACCAAACAAATATTCACACCAATGAAACTAAACTTCTCCTATAGGTAGGGCAATGTCCACTTTTGGTGCAGGTCAAGATTTTTGGAAATCCCCAAAATCGGGGTTAGCCCGCTTGTCCTTAAAAGCGACCTTATGTTCTTTTTACTAAATGACAAAAAGAGCGTCTCAACGCTCAAATTACAGAACGTCATCTTTGAGAGTAATGTAAATTTTATAGAATTTAGGTCAATTTTCTTCTATTATCAAGAGTTAATGGTGGTTATTTTTCTCTGAAACTTAAGTAGTGGCATACGTAGGCTATGTTATGTAATCAGAAGCTTGATTATAATGTCTTGATAGTTCTGAATTTGACTCTTTTTCTGACTTGAGTTATCCGGACATAATCAAACAGTGTGGAGAAAAGCAATGTTGTATTGGTGTTTGCAACAGAAAGAGTTAAGGAAACTGAACAATAAGGCATTTTTTATGAAGACAACATCAAGGAGATTATAATCTGTAATTAGGAAAAAGGGGACCATGGATGTCAAAGGGCCAGTGGCCTGGTGGTTAGGCCATCAGATTCGCAACTGTAAGGTCATTGGTTGGAATCTTGTCAGGGGCCCAACATTATGTCCTTGGGAAAGGCCCTTAACACAAATTTTCCTCACTTCACCCTGGTGGGAATAGGTTCCCAGTAAGCTGTATGTTTCTGAGGGTTGTAGGGTCTGCTGGGGTTTATAAAGCAAGTAGACTATGCTGCAGAGCATGGGACGCGCGCTCATATGACCTTACACAGTTGCGAGCGCCGTAAAACCCTATACTACTGCTACTAGAGCATGGGTATGCGCTGTATTAATGCAATTGTTTTGGTTGCACAGTGTAACAAACTTTTGGCGCTCATCAATTTTTGGGTATATGGAGTTACTTGTATCATTTTAAGGCTTGTTCATTTGTCTTGTTTCGAACTTTAAGAAATACTCACCTGTCTTGAAGAGAAGTCGAGATATTTGTGATTGAAGGAGGTGGGGGTCACCTGGTTTCAAAAGTAAAATTAGGGACTAAATGACTGCCAAAGTTAGGTCACTTTCAAAGCTTGAGAATAAGAGTCCTTGGTAACTGGTAAATTACATTTTTGTGTCTTTTTAATCAATGTTTTTCTCTAAGATCCACACCGAAATGTGTTTTTAAATGGACATAAAAGATGTTGAGCCAAAAACTAAAAAATGCAATTAAAATTGTCAAATGAGTGGAAAAATTGCCAGTTTCTTTGATTTCATTATTTTGATGAGCTCCTAATTTCTCCACGCTGCTTCACATGTGTAAAGCTTCAGCCAGTAAATCCTTTTGTTTTAGTCACTGTGCCACACAATAAACTTTGTTTGGGGTACCCATTCAAAAATTTCAGCTTTGGAACCAATATACCTCTTTCAAAAATAGCCTTTGACCAGTCCTTCACTTACATAATATTGCTATTGGAAGAGTTGTGTGATTTTTGTCTACTAAGCTAACTTTGCACTCAGAAGAAATGCTGGAGAATTTTTTTTCTCTATTTCAATGGCAAAAGGGAACCTTCTTTAACTTACTTTAACACTTTTCCTACCACGAGCCGCATGCAGACATGGCCCCGCTGGACCGAGAGTCGCAAAATACGGATCGAGTGCCTCACTATCTATTCAAATCCAATAATGAAAAGACACGACATTCTCAGCTGATTCATATTTTCGAAATAATAGAATAGACTTCCTGTTATCGGATATGAAAGAAAATAAAGCACTGAGAGACGATTTTTAGTCATTTCTTCGCTTTTTTCTGTCCCCTTTGAAACGTAAAAATGAAAAGAAAAGTGCTCCCCTGACTCCAGTATATGTCTCATATTTTCACTTCTATGATAGGTACACCTACATAATTGTCAGCACTTCTTTGCATTACTTGAGGCAACCTACCTGGGAAGTTTGAATGATGCTGTTTATGTCCTTTTTTGGATATCTTTCAAAGCTGGAAAATTGTTGATTTCATGACACCTTCGATATTGCATAATTGCTTTTAGACACTCCAAACTAATATACATGGAATAAATCTTCCGTATTGTATCACCATCTGATAGATTATTTTTTAACCTTCAGTTTGATAGGCCATATAATATGGTTTGTGTATGTTTAGTTGGATGCTTTGACTTTTTCCTTTGGTGGGGTAGGGGCGTAAAAATAGGTCAACGAAAAGCCCTGGGCCAGTGGTGGATTAATTGGTGCGGTAGGAAAAGAGTTAAGTGTACTTTCTTTGACTTTGTTGATAGCATGGTCGTGGAACTAATCAAAAAGGCCTTTTCTTTAAAATTGGTCACAAAAATTGGTTGTTTCACCTCTTGATCCCTGGAGACAACTCTATCTTTTTTTCTTTTGAGGTTCATTTGTGTCTTTGACATAGAAAACATAGTCTTTCAACTGGTTTGTCTATGACCTCTAATTCTACTGTTGGAACTATATATAATCCATTGACTAGATGCTTGTGTGTAAACTTTGCTCTGTTTTTTGCCCATCATGCAGTTTAAATATAAAGCGCAGCCCCTTCTCATGTCTCTCTACTCTTTGTAATTAGGAAGGTAATAGCTGTACTACTGTTGTCCCCAGGTAACATCAGTAAGGCAGACAAAGAGTTGATCATAGTTGCTGTCAGCGCTCTCAACCATTGCCGCTACTGCATCATTGCCCATGGTGCATTGTTCAGGATATTCTCAAAGCATACCACTTTGGCAGATCAGGTATAACATATTCCATTTTCCACTTTTCTACTTAATTTCACAGCGTAAAATGGTCACCTGTCCAATGCAGCCTCAGCCACCATATTTTATCAACCAACAACCGAAAGTACCTGTCTGAGATGGCCACACAAATCTCTCATCACCTGATGCTTTGTCATAAATTATGTATTGGCCCCTGATGCTATGGACGAGCAGTCATAATCCATTCTTTCGCCTGTCGTTATTGTTAAACGCTCCAATGAACAATCGTGTTGCGCAGGTTTTCTGTTTTCCCAAGTTGACCCATCGGTATCAATAAATTTTCAGCTGCTTGTAAAGGAACCATGTAACCCATCATAGCCTATGAAAGCCCCGCCCACAAAACGTATGCAAATCGTAAGTAAGATAAGCAGCCACTGGATATCAACATAAACTTACAACAGAAACATCGATCATTCTCTGAGTGGTGGGGAATCTTGACACGTGTTTGTTTGTTTTACCATGGCACTCGGTCTTCCCTATCTGACATATTTCATTTTGTTTTACCATTTTACATCTCTGGATTTTTCAGTTATTTCTCCTACACACCTGTGCTCTTTAGATGGCGAGCTTCTTTTCCGCTCCCTAGTGGAGCCAAAATTTCTTTTGTCTCCAAAAGTTCCAAAATGCCGGCTCCGAGTCTCATACTAAGGTGTTGATATTCTTTGTAAAGTAGTCTCCACCTAAGATCCTACCACTTACAATCCCGGTTGACTAAGATCCCACTATTTTAAGAAATATTTTTTTCTGCTCAAAAGTCACCTCTAGGATCCTGCTCTGAAAGACTACATTCAGGTAAGATCCCACTTTTTAGATCATAATTTTCTGAATAAAGACCCGTTGGAGGGCAGTTGATCAACTAAGGAGCAAAAAATTTGCGATCTTTGTACTATTGTACTGCCTATTGCTTCACAGAACATCCACTCTTGTGATTGCAATCACACCTGTGTTGTAAATCTTAATGAGAAGGAACAATGGTAACCCCAAATGGGATCATTCAAGATGTGAACTCCTTGACTCGTTCGTTTTCCCCAAACATTGCGCTCGCATTTGAGCCCTCCACTTGAACTTACATCACATGATTGATGGATAGGGCCTACAAGGCCACATCAGACTGGATCTTATCAAACTGTGAACTCGTGGGTGCTTTTATTTCCCTGACAATCACAGTTGTCTTTCATCTCACAACCTAAATTTGCTAGACAGACTGGATTTTAATTGGTGTGGTCACAATGGTGTGTTTCTGTATGAGTGGGGAACTGTGATAGAGATAGAAAGCTATAAAATTTGGACAGGTGAAGGGAAGGAGCATTGAGATCAATGTAGATCTTGAGACTCAAATTGGATAAGTGAAAATAATGGCACACCCTTGCCATTGTGATTGGTCATCAATTTTAACTGCTTTTTGCTCGCCATAAGTCATGAACCCACCCAGGAGTAATGACAGTTCATTTTAAAGTAAGGGGAGATCTTTTTACCAATTGTGAGCCAGGTCATGATTCATCTCGAATTCTTTCCCTGTTGAATAAGCAAAGATCCCATTTGTCGAAGATCCCGCATTTTTCAAGCTTCAAGCACAGGGATCTAAGGTGGAGATTACTGCATTTGTCCTTACAGAGGGGATAGGAACATTCTCAGCCTTGTAAAACAGATGGGCACTTCCTATGGTGTCCAGGTAACACTGCAGTGGGTGCCTGGCCATTCTGGAGTTACAGGGAATGAGACTGCAGACCAGCTCTCAAAAACTGGAGCAAGCCTGCCCCAAACAGACACAGCCGCCTCTTTACAGACCTGCAGATCCAAGCCAAAAGCAGAGACGAGTGGCTAAACAGATAGACCAACATAGAAACAGGAAGATCTCTCTTCGGGCACATGGACAAACCTAACACCAAAGATCCTTCGAATCTCTTATGTAGAGCCGATCAGACTTTGATCTTCAGAGCCCGCACTGGACACTTACACACCAACTAGCACGTACACAGAATTAACCCCATGTGGGAACCCCATTGCAGACACTGTGACTACCATGACCAAACCTGGCAGTTATTTGACACAGGCTCCTACATACACCTACAGACTTACAAAGCCTGCTCTACTCTGGCATTGACCAGATGACGAGGACATGTGGTTACTTAAGGGAGGCATAGCGCTGCCAAGAGCGAAATGCTCGCAGCTAAAGGGATTTGAAAACAACAACAACTGTATTAGTCCTTACTCTACCAGGCCATTTTTGTACTGTTTACTAGAGGGAAAATACAAGTATTTTAGGAAGGACAAGAATAATTTGGGCAAAACTCTGATTTGAACTTCTGTTTTCAATATGTTAGCAAATTATGTCAACCAGCTGTTTTGATAAGATAGACCATTGTTGTTAGATATCATTTGTCATTGGACTCATGAAAAATCCAAAAACTAAAGTCGATGTCTCTGTTGTTTGGAACAACAGTTGATTTGAATGGAAATAATTGACAAAGCAGACCTAAAATACTTGCAAAATGGTATGCTGCGTTTGTTGTAAAAATCTATTCATTGACATTTTGTTGTCTTAATGTTCTAACAGGTGGCAGCTAATTGGAAAACAGCAGACCTAGACGACAGACAGAGAGCCATTCTAGAGTTTGCCTTGGAAGTTGCCCAGTGCCAACCATTACAAGATTCTCATTTTCAAGCTCTCTACCAGCAAGGTCTGAATGAGGAAGATGCCTGGGATATTGGAGCTGTTGTAGCTCTGTTTTCTTTGTCCAACCGAATGGCTTTTCTCACTGAAATGGCGCCTAATGAAGAGTTCTACATGTTGGGCAGAATTCCTAAGAAACCCAAAGAATAGGTCAATGATATAGTCTGTTCAAAACCCAGGAGCTGGATGTTTGTTGATGTTGATATTGTGCTCAAATTCAGTAACAAATTATACAGATCTGTGCATTAATTGATAATAGATTTGTTCTTGTATGAGAGTTTAAACTTTTGTGAGCCTTTTGAATTTCATATGTGTGTGCCATAGGTACTTTATTTATGTACCAACCAAATTGAATTGGTTGTCAGTGAAACAAAATACACAAAAATGGACTGCTTTTGTCTTTTTGACTTTATTATGGTATAACCATCTAGAAGTTGAAATCATGTTTGTTTGCCAATATAATGTCTATGAATTCTTACAATTTATCCTGAAACTTGTCTGATAAAATGTAGCATTTCTGTCTCATGTAAGCACTGAAGCAGACTCCATCCGAATGTTTATTTCAGACTCATTCTCTCTCTGTGTGTCAATATTTAAACTGTAGCTGGTAAGGTATGGGATGGGACCATCAATATATTTCATGCACCTAAAGTTGGTGATTTTTTATAGTTAATCCTAGATTTGTAGAGAAGAGGGTACTTAACTCACCCATTTTAGTTTGCTTTGTTTTACTAAGCAGTGCATTCAATCACTTTAGGAATATGATATTGTGTTGATCATTTTTACTTATGTTTTTTGGTTAGTGGAATGTTACAGTTAGCGTCTAGGTGGCTAAATAAACAGAGAATATAATATGTTTGTCTAAATATAGCATGCTTTTGACTTCGTTCATTTATTTTTGTATATTCACAATATGAACCATTTGCTGTGTAGGAAATCTTTTTTTTTACTTATAATTATACAGACTTTTATCATGGTATCGGTTGTTCCTCCTGTTTTCCCAAGAACTGATGGAAACTCCTACTGCCTTCTTATATGATACCACAGCTTGTTAAACATGGATGCGGTGGTTATACATCTTGAGAGATTTTGTTTTAAAATTATAGCTTAGTTTCAGACTGTCAGGATAAAGAGACCTGAGTGTTGATTTAAATGGTTAGAATAGAATGTCTCATAAACCTAATAAGTTGATCTTTATGACCAACTTAAAGGAATTTGGTCGAGTTTTGTCTTCTGTGATCCCTCCCAGGACATCATTTATTCCCTGACGTAATCTAGGTTGCTGGGATGAATGAATCTGCTGTGAAATTAATTATAATTGGACGCAAATGGAGGCAAGCTGTTTTCCAAAATTATGTTGAAAAGTTTATTTACCACCCTCAAAGTGAAGAATGAATATGGCCATTATCTCCAGAGAAACGCACCTGCCATTGCCATATGTCTTCCAATGTCAGATTTTCCATGCAGTGGGATGGTAACCCCCAAAACATAATTTGAGATCATGTGGTTGTGATGAACAGCTGCTGTTGGCAGAACTGAAAAACAAATGGTTGTTATGCAGTTATACTTTGAGGAATCTTGGAGGGAAACAAGTGGACAAGTGAATCGTGATAACATAACTTGGATGTTCTGTTTTTAACCAGCTTCACAACGGACTTACAGATAAAAATTGATGGGATCTTAACGGGAATAAATTAATCATATTCTTATGAGAGACGCATTTTTAATTTATCAGTCATTATCAAAGTGACCAAAGTGGTTTTGTAGTATACACAGAGGCAAAAAAAAATGCTCTCTCTCTCTCTCTCTCTCTCTCTCTCTCTCTCTCTCTCTCTCTCTCTCTCTCTCTCTCTCTCTCTCTCTCTCTCTCTCATACACAAACACATACACACATCCTTTTTTTTTGTTTCTTATATATACAATGTATATATATATATAAATATACATGTGTGTGTATGTATATATATATATAGATATATAGATATATATAGATATATATATCTTCTGTTTCCCTTATCTTCACTGACACACGTTTGTCTCTCCGTTTACTCTTACCTCCCCGTCTCCCCCCCCCCCCCCCCACATACTTCAAGTTTCTATCCAGTGCATGCCAAGGTGTCAATGATACATTGGGCTGAAATAAGGTCAAATATTTACATTCACAGAGCAAATTAATCTTCTATTTAGCATGAATGTTTAAGTTCCAGCCAGCAGTCTTCAACAGTAAAGAAACTTCAGTTATTATGATATGGAAGTACAGTAGGCCTACTATAAATCATTGTCACTTGTAGCATGTTGTTGTAAAGGGAAAGTTCATGTTTCATTCAAAATGATCTGTTCTTTCGGTCTGTTTTCTTTTACCATAACAATGAAAATTTCACTACTTTATTTGGTCGCTTTTAATCACCTATCCCGAAAAATGCTGTTTTGAGGAAATCGAAGGTTAAGTTTTTTCCCCTTGTTCAGTTTCTTTAAAAGACAAGGAGAGTTTTCTCTATAACCAAACACATACATGTATATACACACCAATGAAACCAAACTTCTCCTATAGGTAGGGCAATGCCCATTTTTGGTGTAGGTGAAGATTTCTGGAAACCCTCGAAATCTGGGTTAGCCCGCTTGTCCTCAAAGGCGACCATTTATTGTTCTGTTTCTAAAATCCGTGTACGCATAAAGTAGGCCTAGAAAAGGATGACTATGTATCTTTTGATAAAGGGAAAGCATGAAGGAGCTGTTTGCCATTAATGTTGTTATTTCCCTTTAACGCTCCCCGCACAGCACCTGAAGTTGACCCTTGGGGGATCAGCGTGATGCAAAGTTTACTCATACTATTCAACGAGACAGCAATGTAGACCGTATGATGAGGCTGTGTGTATTTTTCCTTTTACTAGGTGGAATTTGTGTGCTACTGAAGCCCAGATCACTCTATGCCTCTGACTCACAGAGAGAATCGCGCTTTGGACAAGATAAGATTAATCTTTATCAATTATTATTGTCCAGACACGGGCATAATGTGGCTCACAAGATACGCACGCACACAAACACACACACACATACGCCCGCACACACACACAGACAAACACACACACACACACACACACACACACACACACACACACACACACACACTCAACGCATACAAAAAAAACTATCTCACACACCCTCTCTTCCATACAAATGATATATGCACCATATATGCACACTATGCTTGCACTCGCAGATTCACAGTCATACTCATTTTTGTAAACGAACAATAATTGTTAACAACAATAATGTTTATTATGCTAGATACATAATCAGTGCTAGTTTGGGATGGCCTCTCCGGCTGGTTCGTTTCCATGACAGACAGAGCTGCGGGATCTGTGCAGGCCTCCATCAATTTTCTTCAGCATTAGCACTCTTATAAATACATGACGCAGGACCTACTAAGTATTATCCAGTCCTTGGTTTAGGCTTTTTTTTTCAACCAAGTTAAACACCCTACTGGAAAAAAAATACTATCCTAGAACTACAAAGTTCTATCTGCTCAGTTCTTGGTTTTGAGAAATTTGAAACTTTTAAAAAGTTGAGTTTCACAAGTCAAGATTTTTATAGTGCAATTCTTTGAATGTCTTGAGAAGGACTCCGAATATTCTTACGATTTTATAGAGCAGATAGAACCAATCTAAAGAACATTTTGTTTCTGTCCTCGTGGGGTTAGTAACTCAAAACGGCAAAAAATGCCATATTACAATTTAGGCCTATATTAGAACGTTGTCATTCTAAGCTAGCATCTGCGTTTTTTGCCATTTTTTTGGCCAAAAGTTGCCTCAAAATTGGCAAAAGTTGCCCAAAAAGTTGCCATTAATTTTCAAGCTTTCAACTCTCTGTGATGACGTATATTATATAGCATGTTGATAGAGGTAACTTCATCTAAAGCACCAGAATTTCTTGTGTTCTGTTTTAAGCAACCAGAATATCATTTGTAGCCAAACAGGATGTAAAACGTGAAAAATAAAGGTTTCACAACAGAATGAAATCAAAATTAGAACAGCACATAAACAACCTAAAAAAATTAACAAATAAAATATCCGAAGATTGACCGTTTTAACCCTAAACGAGCGTAATTTAAGAAAAAGTACAGGATATTACTTACATGTAAATTATGGAATCACACACAAGGGGCCTGTCAGTGTCAGAATTTAGTTTGGTAGAGACACGCTCTAGCATAACACATTTGTATTTTTTTAAAGATGGGAACAACATCAAATTAAATGACATACGCTATATAAACATCAAAGACAGAAAAAAGAATACATCAGAACAGTAACGAGGAATATTGAAACACAATAAAGAGGGACAATTTAAAGAGAAACAGCAATTCATAAATTGTATGTAATATACTCATTCTTCACATGAAATTTCATTGAAAATAACAAATCAACGTGATGTCATCAAGTGAAAAAGAGACGAAGTGAAGCGGAAGTGAAAGTGAACTTTCTAATGTAGTTTTTCTTTCTAAAACTAAAAGTAAAGTTAATGAGGTTCGGTTTCTTTATTTATTTATTTTTTTCATTTTTTGTTTCTCGATCTTTATTCCCCAGGGTCTGATTTTCGATTTTTTATTCCCGAGTGGTGGTTTTTTGTTTTGTTTTTTTTTTCTGTCTTTTTTTTCTTTTTGGCAGGGGGGGGAGCAAAAATCACGGACCAAAATTCGCCAAAAATCGCGTCCGCGATTCGCGGGTCGCGGCCTCGACAAACGCAGATGCTAGTCTAAGACAGCTAAATGGCTCTTGTGTATGTGTTTCCCTTTGCTCTGTGGTCAGAGTCATCATCATCCGGTGCCTTGCCGACTGGCGTGGGCGATCATGGACCTCCACTTCACTCTGTCTTGTGGTCAGAGTAGGCCTACTATAAAAAAAAAAAAAAAGGCTACAGGAAGGAAAGAAGACAGAAACAATACATTTGTACAACAAACTGAAGTGAAAAAAAATTAAGATACGCGATTTCTTCTTGGGAATCTTCTCACACAGGTGCCGGGATAGACCAAATTAATTGTAGTTATGTGGCGCAACATTTTAGATTCTTCCCCGGCCTGTAGGGTTTGCCCTGCAGTGCAGACTCAGCCGGCCTAAACCCTGCTCTGTGCGTCTGTGACCAGGGAGGGGGCGGGGGTCTTAGTTTCAAGCCGGAGAGGGCCAAGTTGGAAACGTGATGTAGGCATTTAGGCTACACTTCTGTACTGTAGCCTACCTACCTAGAGATGTCATATCTAGCGCAGAGGTAGGCGTGATCGAATGACCTGCCATTGTTTACGGTCGCTAGTTTTCGTCATACACTCTGGCATACACCCCCCTGGGGCAGTGCCACTGACTGAAGTGTCTTTAGGCCATTCTCAAAGGGGGGGGGGGGCATTTCTCGTTCAAGCATAGTAACATTGTAAATGGGCTGACTCATGTCACGCTCATAACTGTGCCTGATCTACAACAGAGAACTGCTGCTTTTTCTTTCCTGATCCTTACTATTGTCATTTTCCTCTACTTCTTTTGTATGTTTGTCACTCTCTTGCTATTTTGGGGTGCCTTGATAGCCAAAGCAGACCTTGTGCTGTTGAAGCTAGAGAGGTGAGCAGTCTAAGTCTGATTCCCTGTAAAGACTTTTCTGTTGACACCCACCCCTTTGCGCTCATATGACCTTATGAAGTTGTGAGCACCGTCAAACCCTCTACTACTACTACTACTCTGGCATACTTAGGTCAGTCTATGCCTTGATGTTAACGCTCCATATTGTTCGTTGTCCACCCTTTGCCACATCTTTCCTCCGAGTATTTTCTTAATACATGTAACAGCACTGACTTATGATGTCAAATTCTAAATGTTTTGTCCTCAAGTGCATCATAATCAATACCATTTTCCCCAGAAGTGAAGTGAATAGAATTTTCACATTTCCAAAAAGGCTTTCAAAACTTCAAAATAGAAGAGTAAACTTACATAGGGTGG